CTCCTGAGTAGCTGCGATTACAGGTGCCTGCCACCATGCCCACCTAATTTTTGTATTTTTAGTAGAGATGCGGTTTTGCCATGTTGACCAGGCTGGTCTGGAAATCCTAATCTTGAGTGATCTACCCACACTGGCCTCCCAAAGTGCTAGGATTCAGGTGTGAGCCACTGTGCCCAGCCAGTAACTGCTTTTCAATATGAGATGAAAATCTAAATGTTATTTCTAGGCTCATTTACATAAATATCAAGGCTCTTCTCTAGAACTGAGTTGATGCTGCAGAAAAGATTCCTGTTAGAGCCAATTCCTTCCTCTGCCTCCCCTCCGAGTGGAGCTAGGAGCAGCTGGAGACTGGCAGGGAGGCCGAGGCTGACAGAGCCACACCCAGCATAACCAGGGAGGGCCCTGGGACAGCAGCGCACACTCACCCTGTGTGTGGGGACCCTTGCCACCCACCCCACATGTGGGCACCCTCGCCACCCACCCCACATGAGGGGAGGACCCTCGCCATCCCCCCACGTGTGGGGAGGACCCTCGTCACTCACCCTGTGTGGTAAGGAGGACTCTCTCGGCGTTGTTGGGCAGGCCCAGCCAGGAGGGCGTCTGGGTGTCAGGGAGCAGCTCCACCCACTGCACAAACTCCTCTCGCCTAGAAAACCAGTGCGTTTGGAAACGATGTTAGAGGCTACCTCTGAGTGACACCAGACGCTCTGACGTCACAACTGTCTCCATTCCAGCAGGCAGCAGCATACCTGATGCCATCTGGCATTTGAATGTCTTTATGCCCGTCGACCTTGCATGCCAGCTTAAATTCACTGTCGAAACTCCTGGTTGTGAACAGGCGCTCCAGGAAGGTGTTGAGCAGACGTTGGTCAAACTCGTTGTCCACGCGCCCGCCATAAATGGACTGGGCCATCAAGGTCTTTAGTGCAGACCACGGGATCTTATCCGGTGAGATGTTCTGCCTGCCCTGGGGGAGGAAAAGCAGGGTTCGTGTGTGGTCGGAGGCGGGCATGCCCGGGGCTCCCTTTCGAGGGGCACAGCTTTCCTCCTCACTCCCCATGGCCCGCTAGGCTTTGGCGGTCACGAGGGGTCAGCTCGCTCTTCCAAGCTGAGTCTGGCCTCTCAGCACCACGCCCTGCAGTGTCCTTCCCAGGTGCACATCCGCTGCCTGTCCTGGCACAGCCCACACTTGCCTTGGCTGTGTCGTCCAGCCACGTGTCCACTGTATCGCAAGCTGACCGCAGGTCAGACTCTCCAAACTCATACTTCTTTGACCACCCCAGTGGTGCGTATCGTAAGCGCTCTTGGATGATGGCATGGAACCAGGCCAGCAGGAAGTACAAGCGGGCACGCTCGTTGGGAGACTGGGTGAGGAAAGAGACCGAGTACAGTCATTAGACAGCAGCACTTCTCCAAGAACAGCGCACAGGCTAGGTCAGAGTCAAAGCTTTACAAAGAGCTCTCCACATCCTGATGATGGCAGCAAATTCACACGAGTACTGTTGCTAGGAGAAAAGTATGCCAACTTTTCTATTAATAGAGATGTCATCCAATGAGGCCATCGGAGAATTTATTCAGCCAATAAGAAATCTACAGAAGACAGAGTTTCTAAGAATGTCAGAAAAGGTGGATATGGCACAAAATAGAACAGAATTGACAGAACGAAACCCCTGCCACAATCCCCCTTCTCTTGCCCAAGAGTCTTGGTTTTCACTTGGCACCTGGGAGGGCTCTGCTTGGTCTCCGGGGGCCTGTGCTGGGGGAGAGGAGATTGTCTGCCACTTGGGGACACAATGCTGAGTCCCAGCTTCTCCGTGGGAGAAGCTGTTCCACTGGGACCTAATCACACCCCATATCAAACATGGCTTTTACTTTTCAACCTGCTCACAGGAAGGAAATTTTAGAGAGAGAGACAGGATCTCACTATGTTGCCCAGACAGGTCTTTTTTTTTTTTTTTTGCCCAGGCTGCTGGAGTGCTGTAGCTGGATCTCAGCTCACTGCAAGCTCCGCCTCCCGGGTTCACGCCATTCTCCTGCCTCAGCCTCCCGAGTAGCTGGGACTACAGGTGCCCGCCACCTCGCCCGGCTAGTTTTTTGTATTTTTTAGTAGAGACGGGTTTCACCATGTTAGCCAGGATGGTCTCGATCTCCTGACCTCGTGATCCGCCCATCTCGGCCTCCCAAAGTGCTGGTATTACAGGCTTGAGCCACCGCGCCCGGCCAGGTCTTTTTCTTTTTTTAGACGGTATCTCGCTCTGTCGCCCAGGCTGGAGTGCAATGGTGCGATCTCAGCTCACTGCCAACCTCCGCCTCCTGCGTTCAAGCAATTCTCCTGCCTCAGCCTCCCCAGTAGCTGGGACTACAGGCATCCACCACCACGCCTGGCTAATTTTTTATATTTTTAGTAGAGATGGAGTTTCACTATGTTGGCCATGCTGGTCTCAAACTCCTGACCTCAAGTGATTTGCCCACTTAGGCCTCCCAAAGTGCAGGGATTACAGGAGTGAGCCACCACACCTGGCCTGCCCAGACAGTCTTGAACTCCTGGGCTCAAATGATCCTACTGCCTCGACCTTCGAAAGTACTGGGACTACCAGTGTGAGCCACGATGCCTGGCCAAGGAAGGAAATTTTACCTACAGCCGAAAAGCAAAAGCACCTGTGCAATTCACCGCATGGCACTTCTGGGACGCCCAGGGACCCACTTCTGCATTTGGTGATGGCACTGGGCTTCAGCTTCTATGGAGAAAGCACGCCAGGAGGACAAGGTACTTACCTTGCATATCCGTGAGACGGGAATGCTGCTGAACGTCCTCAGCATGTTGGCCTTCACCCCTGGTGGTGGCTCAAACACAAAGATGCGACCCGCACGGAGCAGATTCACCGGCACCTAAGGGAAAGCGCGGCCCCCGTTACGGTTCGGGTGTGGACACGGGTGCCGACAGGACTGCCACACCAGCCTGCAACGTCTCCACCCCCCCTTCAACCACCCACCTTGGGGTTGATCTCCATGGTGAGGAAGAGTCGGAAGCAGGCATGCGGCTGCAGGGAATGCAACTTCTTTTCCAGCTGCATCAGCCACCCTGGGGCCAGATGCACATTCTTCAGCATCACCCACCTGCACACACAACGTGAGAGTCACACAACACGCCAGGCTGCCTGCCTGAATGCCTGGGGACTAAGGCTTTCTTCAGCCAAAGAGAACAGGCCTACCTGCCCGACTTCACAGCGGTGTTGATTGCCTTATCTGCCTGGTTAAAGCCTTCTGCAGAGCCTGGCGCAAGGAAGACTTAGTGTCAGCAGCGGCAGCCGCGGACATCAATGCCCACCACGAATCCTGCAGGGCTCCAGCCCACAAAGCCCATCAAGCGCCCTTACCGATTGCAATTGAAGTGATCTGCGTGTTCTGCTCGGCTGCAAGGTCCTCGACATGCCCACTGGCGTCGTAACCAGGCACAGAGCACATTAAGACAGGAGTGTTGGGCTTCACCTGCAAACAGAGAAGGCAGAAGTTACAGCGGTGCCAGCAAATAGTGTGTACCTGTCAAGGGAAAGGAGCGCCCCGAGTGAGGGGCCTGAGATGTTCTTTCGGGGTCCAGAGGTGTGGGCACCACACAGTCGGTTGAGAATCTGCAGTGAGCTCCTGGTCTTAGGAGCAGACTGTAGCCTGGAGTGACAGGAGACGCCAGGGCTGCTGACAGCTGTGGTTGGGGAGGTGGGCGTGGAGTCTCTTGAGACGCCTGGGCTGTATCAGGACATTACCTCTGTGCCCACAATGTGGGTCAGGTCGAGCGGCTGCTCCATGATGGACATGAAAGACTCCCCAAGGTTTGTTGAAACAAACATGTGGGCCATGGCCAACAGGCGGTCGGGCCGGAAAGCCTGGATCAGGAGCAGGCGGTGGATGGCCTGGCCAATGGGTGCTGAAACAGGTACAGAGGGGTGGGTGCTGGGTGGAAGCAAGGACTTGGAGACGCCCTCCCCTGCCGGCAGCGTTCTTCCCAAAGCACCCACGCAGTATTTCAGGATCAGCTCAAATCAGGAAAGTCAGCCACATCTCCTGTGCCTTCCGTGAGCCCTGTGGACACACCTATGAGAACACTTACCACCTGGATGTCTCCATAGGACAAGGTGCCGTTTGCTGATTTTTAAATTACTACACTAACACCTGCTGACTTCCTGAAAACAGCTGAAGGCACTCAGGAGGGGTCCACGCTCTGCCCTCCACAGTCTGACACTTCCTCTCAGCCTGGCTAGCCCAGGGGCTGGCTAACACACTCAAAACCGGCTGATGGCATTCCATTCCTCTGCAGCGTGAATACAGCCAGTTAACTCCTTATCATCAGGCAGGAGCTCCCCACCTAGTTCTCTTATGGTCTTCAAGCATGAGATGAATAGGAATTGGAAATTTCTGATCTACCTCTAAGCCAACACCTATCTAGAAGCGATCTCCCTAAGTGGTTTCCTTAAAAAGTTTAACATTGAAACACTTATCCTGGGCATCAGTGACCACTCACTCAGAGACAGGTCTCTGTCTGCTGCCCAGGCTGGAGCGCAGTGGCGCAGTCGCAGCTCATGCAAGCTCGACCTCCCAGGCTCGAGCGACCTTCCTGCGTCAGCCTCCCGAGTAGATGGGACTACAGGTGTAGCCAAGGCTGTATGTTTTGTAGAGATGGGGCCTCCCTATGCTGCCCAGGCTAGTAACTTTGCATGTTTTGAAAGCATCCGTTTAAGCAGCAAAACCCAACTTTACATTCAGGTTCAGAAAGAAAACCACAGCGGGGCTTACTTGCAGGTGTTTCTTCACTCCAGAGGTAGGGCACGGTCTGCTCCGGGGAGCTGCTGTCCAGCCAGATGCCAAATTGCTGTGGAGACAACAGTGGAAGCACCCATTGGGCAGGGCCGGCCTCGGGGGACTGACGCAAGAGTCTGACGCGAGAGCGCAGACACGACATTCTGGGTTTTACACAACATGCGATTCCTGACATTTCCTGGGAAAAGGCCGACATTTCTCACTGGGAACATTCAAAAGAACAATCACCTCGTCTGCCTGAACCTTTGCAATCAAGTCCTTAAACGCGGGAAGGCAGCTCAGCCTCACCACCGCCTCCGCCTGCTCCACAGTCAGGCCCTGGATCCTCGGGGTGGAGCCAGCACTCAGGACGATCTCATTTCCTCTCAAGAAGTGCTGGAATTCTGCATCGTAGGTGGGCTCCCTGCGAAGGGTGCAACAGGTTAGCTAGGGTCCCTCATGTTCATTCCCACTGTCACTAAAATAACAGTTGTGATTGAAAGAAAAGAAAAAACAGGCCAGGCACAGTGGCTCATGTCTATAATCTCAGCGCTCTGGGAGGCCAAGGCAGGCGGATCACTTGAGGTCAGGAGTTTGAGACCAGGCTGGGCTGCCAACGTGATGAAAATCTGTCTCTACTAAAAATACAAAAAAAATTAGCCTGGGGTGGTGGCAGGCGCCTGTAGTCCCAGCTACTCAGGAGATTGAGGAAGGAGAACTGCTTGAACCTGGGAGTTGGAGCTTGCAGTGAGCTGAGACTGCACGACTGCACTCCAGCCTGGGAAACAGAGGGAGACTCCATCTCAAAAAATAAAAGAAAAAATAAAAGCACGTATCTGATCATGAAACCCTTGTGGGCCACCAGCAAGATGGCATCCTCCCGCGGGCGTGAGTGCTCTTACCCCACGGTGCCCTTCAGTTTGATTCTCGCCAGCAGCATGGCAAAGGTGATGTGGTCCTGATGCAGCATGCCTCGCGCCACTCGGTTAAATGCCACCTGGGACAAGAGCAGGAGACGATGTTGTTCCGTAAGAGAAGCAGCACCCTGCTTCCCCGCGCCGGGGAGCGGCTGAGGGCCTCGCTCTCTACCTGGAAGAGGTCCTTCGTTATAATGGACAGACGCTGTGTGTGGTCAGTGACGCCCTTCAGGTTCGGGTTCTCATATAAGACGTTGTGATAAATGTCCAGGAAAAACTGGAGGGAGTACTGGTACAAGAAGTGTATCTGAAAGGAAGCAGTGGGCAGCCGTGAGGCAGCTCCCCTGGCACCCGCCGAACTTCTGTGTGGCCGAGGAGCTACTGTGCAGGGGCCGGCCAGCCTCTGCGCCGCCAAGGCACCCACCTGCTTGAGGGACTCCATGGTGAAGTAGATGCTGCTGCAGGCGGTGGAGAGCGGGAGGTACTGCTGGGACACGGTCTCCACCTCCTGCATGACAATGTCCGTCTCCTCAACTTTCCTGGTGACCTCTGCAGCCTCTCTCTTCAGGTTCTCCAGAGTGGTTATGATGGTGTCGTCGTCCAAAATGCGCCCTTTCACCTCGTTCAGAGCTTGTAGTAGAGATTTTTCCAGCTGACGCAAACGGAGCTGAAATTCCCCTTAAATGAAAACATCCAGAGTTTGCAATAATACTTCAAAAGGTACGCTCTCAGAAGTGTTTGCCACAAACGTGGAACATCCTAGTCACTTAAAAGTTCAGCCCCTTCACCTGCACCAACCATCTAACAGCCACAGGTCCAGATCCTACCTTGAAGTTTAAGAAGATCAGATCGTTTCTCGTCCACATCAGGTCTTTCTGCTTTAAGGACTTCATTTAGACACTGGCTTTGTAAACTGCTACGGGTGACTGTGAAGTTTACAAAAGTAACCCGGGAACAGAGATCTGGTGGGAACTCGACCTGCCAAAATAGATAACAGAACAGTCTGTTTTAATTCAGCTTCAAAACCAAATCCTGCCAGACTTCCCTGAAGAAGAGTCCCATTCCTTACAGTTGGATCCCGGGTGGACAGGAAGATGACAAACGATGGTGACAGGTCTATGTCCTGGTCCCCGAGGGTGATCAGCACTCTCCCTCCTGTTCGCCGCACTTCACGGTTCAGCACTGGGTTCAAAACTGGATCGTAGCTTTCCACATCCTGCACAGCACACGGGTGGAACTTGATGGCCAGGGCTTTGTAACTTTATCTTCACCCAAATGCTATGTTGCTGTCCTACTTTAGATAAGCATACCTTTCCAAAAGCCACCCACCACTTGTGTATGGTGGCCACTAGCTATGTGTGGCTACTTACATTTAAATTAACTAAAATTGGCCAGGCGCGGTGGCTCCCGCCTGTAATCCCAGCACTTTGGGAGGCCAAGGTGGGTGGATCACGAGGGCAGGAGATCGAGACCATCCTGGCTAACATGGTGAAACCCCGTCCCTACTAAAAATGCAAAAAATTAGCCAGGTGTGGCAGTGGACGCCTGTTGTCCCAGCTACTTGGGAGGCTGAGGCAGGAGAACGGCGTGAACCCGGGAGGCGGAGCTTGCAGTGAGCTGAGATCACGCCACTGCACTCCAGCCTGCGCGATTGAGCGAGACTCCGTCTCAAAAAATTAACTAAAATTAAAAACTCAGCCAGGCGTGGTGGGTCATGCCTGTAATTCCAGTACTTTGGGAGGCTGAGACAGGCAGATCACTTGAGGTCAGGAGTTCAAGGCCAGCCTGGCCAACATGGTGAAACTCCATCTCTACTAAAAATACTAAAAAGTTAGCTGGGGGTGTTGGCACATGCCTGTAGTCCCAGCTACTTGGGAGGCTGAGGCAGGAGAACTGCTTGAACCTGGGAGGTTCAGACTAGGAGACAGAGCAACACTCCGTCTCAAAAAAACAAACAAACAAAAAATTAAACACTCAGTTCCTAGTCACACTAGCCGTGGGAAGTGCTCAGTATAAGCCACCTGAGACTAGTGGCTACCACACTGGAGAGTGTGGACCATAAAGCATTCCTGCTCCTGAAGAAAGTTCTGGGGGACAGTGCTGATACAGACCCTCCGAACGGCATTGTATTTCATTTCTTAAATTTTTTTCAATTTGCATAAGGAATTCATCTTGTTGCAAATCTGATGCTTCCTAGTGACCTTACATGCTTTATTTAAAAACAAATTTTTAACTTTTAAGTTCAGGAATACAAGTGCAGGTTTGTTACACAGGTAAACTTGTCATGGGGGTTTATTATACAAATTATTCCACCACCCTGGTTATAAGTCTAGTACCCATTAGTTGTTTTTCCTGATCCTCCCCCTCCTCCCACCCTCCATGCTCTGAAAGGCCCCAGTGTGTGTTGTTCCCTCTATGTGTCCATGTGTTCTCATCATTTAGCTCCCACTTATAAGCGAGAACAACTGGTACTTGGTTTTCCACTTTTGCATTAGTTTGCTGAGGATAATGGCCTCCAGCTCTATCCATGTTCCTGCAAAGGAACATGTTCCTTGTTCCTGTTTCTTGAACATTTTTCTGGTTCTTTTTTTTTCTTTGAGACGGAGTCTCACTCTGTCACCCAGGCTGGAGTGCAGTGGCGTGAACTCGTTTCACTGCAGCCTCTGCCCCCCAGGTTCAAGCAATTTTCCTGCCTCAGCCTCCCGAGTAGCTGGGACTACAGGTGTGCACCACCACACCCGGCTAATTTTTGGATTTTAAAGAGAGATGGGCTTTCACCATGTTGGCCAGGGTGGTCTTGATCTCCTGACCTTGTGATCTGCTTGCCTTGGCCTCCCAAAATGCTGGGATTACAGACATGAGACACCACGCCTGGCTGTTTCTTGCTTTTCATGGCTGTACTGAATATAATTTTTTTTTTTTGAGATACAGTCTCTTTCTGTCTCCCAGGCTGGAGTGCAGTGGCACGATCTCGGCTCACTGCAACCTGTGCCTCCTGGGTTCAAATGATTCTCTTGCCTCAGCCTCCCAAATAGCTGGGACTACAGGTGCCCGCCACCTCAACCAGCTAATTTTTGTATTTTCTGTAGAGACGGGGTTTGACCAGGCTTTCTTGAACTCCTGACCTCAGATGATCCACCTGCCTCGGCCTCCCAAAGTGCTGGGATTACAGGCATGAGCCACCTCGCCCCACCACCGAATAGAATTTTAAATGCAAATAATGATTCTGCCGAATTTATCTATTATAGAACCATCTCAAAGCTTTATCCTTCTGATACAACGTGAAGTCTTACAAAGTTGAAAACTACATGCAGCCCCCAAAAAGGAATTCACTCTTGAATGCGGTGTTTCAAGAATTCAAAGGTCAACACCAACCTGGACCAGAAGGGGGTTTCCAAATCGCAGTGCACTCTCTAAGTTCTTCCTGAAGGCGTCATCCAGGAAGCTGGTCCGTGTGATCTTACGATCCTTATATTCATTCATAATGAATTCTGTGGCCTGTCCAGAGGGGTCAATGATCAGGGGATACCTGAGGATGAGGCCACAGAAGAGAAGGTTGAAACACTGAATGGGAAAAGCACAGGATCATGGTCAGCCAAGACCCTGATGAGAGGGACAGGCTGTTACCGCCACCCGAGGGTGCTTTCCAGAGACGTTTTCAGGTTTACCAATAAAGCTTACATGCTTAATGCTAACATCACATCATCCTTTTGAAGAACTATTGGCATGAGGAGGTAGCTTGAGTCATATACCAGGAGGGCCATGGTTAAAAATCCTTTTTCTTCTGGGACAATCATCCTCCCTCAGCATCTGGCACTGTTAGAATAGCTTTTTCGTATTTACGATCCTTCTAGACAGCCGGTATCAACACCGACGCTGAGCAGCACCAAGGGATTAACTTTACACAGAATTTAAATTGCCAGGGACTGTGTCAAATTACAGACACTATCTCAGGTAATCCTCCTAACAGCCCTACGAGGCTGACACTGTTATCTAACCACTCTACAAATGCGGAAAGAAGGGCACAAAGAAGCTAATGTGAAGTACCTATAGTCTAGCCAGTTAAAATGTGGAAAAAACCCAGCTGGTAATACACACAAGCTTCTACAAAACTCAAACTATCAAAGGGCATATGCTGAGAAGAACCACGCTGCCCTGCCTTTTGGACCCTGTTCTTTGGTCCCCAAAGTCCCTTCCCCAGGTGATGGCTTTTACCAGTTTCTCGTCTGTCTTTACAGAGAAGGTCTAAGCATTTACAGACACATGTGTCAGTGTGGGTGTTGTGGCCTCGGGGGAGGCCTCTACCGCCTGCTCTGCACCTGTCCAGCCTGTATTCAAATGTCCTGTGTCGGCAAAGACTACCCAGCACCGCAGCGTGGTGGGCCCTCAGGAGGGCCATCTGAGTGATCTCCAGTCTTCAGCTGGGACACACTTGCTCTTAGATTAGCCATTTTATACACAGGTCAAGCTACTGTTGAATGAACACCTAGAAGTGGAACTCCTAGGTGAAAGGGTCATTTAGGCAAATCTAGCCCTGTGCACAGGGTGTACGGATCGATTCCTATTCTTGTTGGCGCCACCTGGTGAGACATGGCGCCCTCTCAGCACCTAGCCCATCTTCACTGCAGTGACGTCCCAGTTCTTCTTCTGTCCTTCCTGAACAGAAAAACAGGCAGCACTTCCCCTTTAACTAGCTATTCTCAGTTCTTGTAACAGAGGACTGTTTGAATGTCCACCCCCAAACACAACCCTGCCAATCAATTTTATTTTTATTTATTTTGTTTTGAGATGGAGTCTCGCACTGTCACCCGGGCTGGAGTGCAGTGGCGCGCTCTCGGCTTGCTGCAATCTCTGCCTCCCGGGTTCAAGTGATTCTCCTGCCTCAGCTTCCTGAGTAGCTGGGACTACAAGCGCCTGCCACCACACCCCACTAATTTTTTGTATTTTTAGTAGATATGCTGGCCAAGCTGGTCTCAAACTCCTGACTTCGTGATCTACCCGCTTCGGCCTCCCAAAGTGCCGGATCACGGTGTGAGAGCCACCGTGCCCAGCCTATTTTTATGTTTTTTTGACATGGAGTCTCGCTCTGTTGCCCAGGCTGGGGTGCAGTGGCGTGATCTTGGCTCACTACAACCTCTGCCTCCTGGTTTCAAGAGTTTTTCCTGCCTCAGCCTCCTGAGTAGCTGGGATCACAGGCGCACACCACCACGCCTGGCTAATTTTTTTGTATTTTTAGTAGAGACAGGATTTCACTATGTTGGCTAGGCTGGTCTCAAACTCCTGACCTCACGTGATCCACTGTGTCTGGCCCCTGCCAATCAATTTTAGAAGGTTACAAGAAGCATTCACTGCAGAATAACTCAGACACTTGACAATAAAGAGAACAGCACACGCCCCACCGTCAGAGGAGCATCAAGCTGCCAGCACTGTATGCCCACGTCCCATTTTCTAGTTCTCTCTTCAAACAAGGGTGTACTTTGAACAACATTCAAGATCACCACCCACGTTCTTCCCGAGCCTCTCCTTGGCACCCGAGCTCGTACCTGTTGAACCGTTTCAGCATGATGGCGTTTTCTGTGCACAGGTCATCAGCAGGCAAGGAGCTGGCCTGCCAGCGAAGACGCTCATCCGCATTGGAAAGGTATTCCGTCCTGGCAATATCTGTACGGAACTGAAAGGCAAGGCCGTTACCTTTCCTCCTCTTCGAAGCCACAGATGGGGCGTTCTAACTGTGCACTAAACACCAGCTTGCCTCACACTGCTCGCACATCCTTTCTGCATTCCCCGCGATTCTCACCTGGATGTTGGCCTGCTGGAGGTGATGGGACCAGGTAGTGAACAAGTTCTGACGCATCTGCTGGTCAAAGTAACCCGCGTAGGCAATGAACGCAGCCGACAAGAGACAGTCCCCAGCAATGGTGGACATCTGGTTTTTGAAAGTTTCACTTGTTTTTTCCCATCGTTCACGTTCAGCAGACAAGCTCTTCAGAAGAGCAGTGCTTCGGTTTACCTAAAAGGAGAACCGAACAAGATGCTCAGGGATCAGGCCTTTCAGGATTTATACCGAATCCTGTAAATTGGTTCATCCACATCATGTGCAGGTGGGTTTTGGGTGGGTTAGAAACGTGCCCAAGTTGTTCACAATCCCAAAGGAGATAAGACCCAGATCATACATAACTAATGACCACACACGACTCAGAATCTCAGCGGGGCAGAGGCTGGGTGCGGAGTGAGGCCTTCAGGCAGCAGAGCAAACAGGTCTGGAGCTGCCGGTGGGGGATTCAATGGCTGTAAAGCATCCAGTTTGTATCAATCTATCCTAATTAACAACACTTAGTGAATACTCAAGTGTGTATTATTTTCCAGGAAAAAAAGTCCTCTGGGCCCTTACAGATGTTACAGAGCGAATTCACTGAGGCCAGCATGGTACATGCAGCGCGTGTTAAAGTGTGTTAATCTCTGCTTCCACGGCAGGAAAGACTGAGGATGAATGATGATAATCTTACTTTTGCCTCAACAGCAGCCAGATCTGCCTTGATAGCCTGGGCCTCTGAGATCAGGACGGCGTATTCCTCCTTGTAGCGGGCGATGCTGGCTTCCAGGTCTCGGATCATCTGCTCCACCTCGTTGGCCTTCTGCTGGTTGTCCTTGGCGTCATCTTCCAGCTTCTGCAGCTCATTGCGTAGGGGCTCCACTCTCTTTAACATGTCTGCATAGTTAAGCTGGGAAGAACCAATTGATAACTGTTATTTAAGTGACAGAAAATGAGGTTATCTTTCACATGGGAGCTCTTGGCTGTGTTAATCACCTGTGCGATTGCCCATTTCACCATAGGGCCGCAAGCCAGGGAAGCCCGATTAACAATTTCGTAATTGTAACTTGGATTGGACATGTAATTTTTCTTCATCTTCTCCCTTATGGCGTCACTGTAAGAGAGGAATGATATTTCTAAGCACATGCGGGACAAAAGCAAGGAAGAGTTTTCATAAAATTAAAATGGAAGAGACCAGAGCCAGCTGTCATCTCATTGCCCCAGTGACTGACCACTGGGGATGAGCGAGACTGACCCTTGGTTCTCAGGCAAAAGCTGGAAATGTGCTCTCAACACTTGAACAATTTCTTTCTTTTTAAAAAGCGAGACAGGGTCTTGCTCTGTCACCCAGGCTGGAGTGCAGTGGCGTGATCTCGGTTCACTGAAGCCTCGATCCCCTGGGTTCAGGCAATCCTCCCACCTCAGCCTCCCAAGTAGCTGGGACTACAGGTGCATGCCACCCCACCCAGCTCATTTTTGTATTTTTTGAAGAGACAGGGTGTCACCATGTAGCCCAGGTTGGTCTCTAACTCGTAGGCTCAAGCACTTCACCTGCCTTGGCCTCCAAAAGTTCTGGTTTTAGAGCCGTGAGCCACTGTGCCTGGCCTGAACAGCTGAAAGTTCTGGGACTGGAGGCGTGAGCCACTGTGCCTGGCCTAAACAACTGATTTCAATTTCTGGCAATACCTTGGCACTTCCACTTTCTCACCTGATCTCCTCTGCAGAGAAGTTGACGATGGTGGGGATGAAGTTCTCCCGCATGATGATGGAGCGGATCTGCTTCCAGTCCGTGGTGCTTTCCCCCAGCAGCAGGCAGATGGACTCCAGCGCCAGCTTCACCGCAGCAGGAGGGTTGGCCATGGACCTCACCTCCACCAGGTGCTGCTTCTTGATCGACTTCACAGCTGAGTGGCAGCAGGAGTGGATGAGGGTCGATGGGTGGGAGAAGACAGAGCAAAGCATGGTGAGAATGAACCAAACAGTCAGGAGCTCCAACTCCAATGAGAGAAAGGACAGCTAGCTGCTCAGAAGAGCTAAGAAATGAGAGACTTTTCTGTATTAAACCCTCTGGAATAGGGTAAGTAGCTGATCTCTTAAATGATTACGAAGATCTTACAAAATGCAAGCATTCCTTAAAAAGCAGGATATTACCTTTAATATTTATTTGAGACAATAATTTATTTGAGACAGAGTCTAGCTCTGTTGCCTAGGCTGGAGTGCAGTGGCACGATCTCAGCTCACTGTAACCTTTGCCTCGCAGGTTTCAGCGATTCTCCTGCCTTAGCCTCCTAAGACGATGGGATTACAGGCCCCTGCCACCACGCCTGGCTAATTTTTTGCATTTTTTTTTTTTTTTTTTTGGAGACACAGTTTTCGCTCTTGTTGCCCAGGCTGGAGGGCAATGGCACGATCTCGGCTCAATGCAACCTCTGCCTCCCGGGTTCAAGCAATTCTGCCTCAGTCTCCCAAGTAGCTGGGATTACAGGTATGCACCACCATGCCTGGCTAATTTTGTATTTTTAGTAGAGGTGGGGTTTCTCCAAGTTGGTCAGGTTGGTCTTGAACTCCCAACCTCAGGTGATCTGCCCGCCTCGGCCTCCCAAAGTGTTGGGATTACAGGCGTGAGCAACTGAGCCCTGACAAGAATATTTTTAAGTGTAATTGTGCATTTATTTCATACAATTTCAACAGACATTTTGAATTTGCTACAATTTAGAGGGATGAGTAAAGATGTGGAGTTAATAGTTCTAAAACAATGGCTGCCAGGCACAGTGGCTCACACATGTAATCTTAGTACTTCTGGAGGCTGAGGCAGGTGGGTCGCTTGAGCCCAGGAGTTTGAAAAAAGCCTGGGCGATATGGCAAAACCCTGACTGCACAAAAAGTACAAAAATTAGCTGGATGTGGTGGTGCGCCCCTATAGTCCCAGCTACTCAGGAGGCTCAGGTGGGAGGATCGTCTGACATGGAAGCCTGAGGCTACAGTGAGCCACGGTTGCACCACTACACTCCAGCCTGGGGGACAGAGTGAGACCCCGTCTCGAACAAAGCAAAACAAAAACAATGGCCCACGACTGCTATACACTGAAAAAGTTTTCCAGGCTGAAATTTTTGTAGATCAATTTTAAGTAATTATTTAGAAGGTGAGAACTACATTAAATTATCATCCAGGCCGGGCGCAGTGGCTCAAGCCTGTAATCCCAGCACTTTGGGAGGCCGAGACGGGCGAATCACGAGGTCAGGAGATCGAGACCATCCTGGCTAACATGGTGAAACCCCGTCTCTACTAAAAAATAAAAAAAAAAATAAAAAATAAAAAAAAAAAACTAGCTGGGTGAGGTGGCGGGCTCCTGTAGTCCCAGCTACTCGGGAGGCTGAGGTAGGAGAATGGCGTAAACCCGGGAGGCGGAGCTTGCAGTGAGCTGAGATCCGGCCACTGCACTCCAGCCTGGACGACAGAGCCAGACTCCACCTCAAAAAAAAAAAAAAAAAAAAATTACCGTCCAAATCCAACTCTGAATGAAAATCTACAGCTTGGATGGTGCCTTTGAATTCATCTTGTTGTATAAGGTAAAAACTACAGATACGTGGGTTACTTGAAACTGGTTAAATACTAGTGGGCAAGAAGAGAGCACTGTTTTTTTTTTCTTTTGTTTTCATTTATTCATTTATTTTAAAATAGAGATGGGGGTCTTGCTATGTTGCCCAGGCTGGTCACAAACTCCTAAGTTCAAACGGTCGTCCTGCCTCAAACAATCCTCCTGCCTCGGCCTCCCAAAGTGCTGGGATTAATGCGAGCCACCTTGCCTGGCTGACAGCAGTCTTAATCACTGCATAAACTGCAAACTAAAATAGGGTGGCAGGTTATTGCCCTTTCTCTTTTTTTTTTTTTTTGAGACGGAGTCTTACTCTGTTGCCCAGGCTGGAGTGCAATGTCTCGGCTCACTGCAAGCTCTGCCTCCCAGGTTCATGCCATTCTCCTGCCTCAGCCTCCCGAGTAGCTGGGACTATAGGCGCCTGCCACCACGCCTGGCTAATTTTTTGTATTTTTTTTTTTTTTTTTTGGAGACAGAATCTTGCTCTGTCGCCCAGGCTGGGGTGCAGTGGCCGGATCTCAGCTCACTGCAAGCTCTGCCTCCCGGGTTTAGGCCATTCTCCTGCCTCAGCCTCCCGAGTAGCTGGGACCACAGGCGCCCGCCACCTCACCCGGCTAGTTTTTTGTATTTTTTAGTAGAGACGGGGTTTCACCGTGTTAGCCAGGATGGTCTCGATCTCCTGACCTCGTGATCCGCCCATCTCGGCCTCCCAAAGTGCTGGGATTACAGGCTTGAGCCACCGCACCCGGCCAAGGCAGGGTGTTATAGTGTTAGCCAGGATGGTCTCGATCTCCTGACCTCGTGATCCGCCCGCCTCGGCCTCCCAAAGTGCTGGGATTACAGGCTTGAGCCACCGCACCCGGCCAATTTTTTGTATTTTTAGTAGAGATGGGGTTTAACTGTGTTAGCCAGGATGGTCTCGATCTCCTGACCTCGTGATCCGCCCGCCTCAGACTCCCAAAGTGCTGGGATTACAGGTGTGAGCCACCGCGCCAGGCCTGCCCTATTTCTATAGCATCTCATAGGCATGTAAGGAATGGAAAAACAGAAGTAAGTGACTGCTATCAATACTTAAATTAGCAACTGGGTCATAGCCAGAGCACTCAGAAATAATTACAAGACAGTCACACTGAATATTTTGTATTTCTTGGTGAAATTCAACTCAGGGATAAAGAGCATATTTCTGTTATTATCAGCAGATCTCTAAAAATGTATTATTGACATAAAGCTTACATTGTGAAGTTTCTTTTATGAGAGGGGTTTCACTATGGTACATACAATCTAGCTTTATAGGAACTTTGCTTTAAGAGATGAAGACAGTCTCAAGCACTCAGAAAAAGCTTCAGATGGTTACTAATGATATTTTTGGAAACATACATAACCAGAACCTTTGAGGGAAGCGTGTGTGCGATATTCAGTGACCTGAACTCCACAGTAATGTTGAGGAAGAGCACCCTTCCTAGACGTCAAAGCTCTGATAGTCTTTACATACCATTCTGGGCCTCAATGACAGCAGGTTCCACCTTATCAAGATCTTCTTTGACACTCATCTGTTTGTCCGCAATTACCTCCTGCTGCTTATGCAGCTGTTCCTGGATTTCTTGGCTCATAACCTAGAAAGGAAGGATGGCTTAGGTATGGGTTAAGCATTAATTTGCTGAGTAAATTCTAAACAACATTCTTCACTCTGCCAACACACACACACACTCACACACTCTCACACTCTCTAACCCTAAGACCCATTTTGAACTACAGTTCCTACTCTCTCATTGGAGACTGAAAATGCCCAGTCCGTACAGGCAGAATTCCCTGACACCATACCTTCTTCTTTTCAGCCTCCTGCTGGTCTTTCACCATCTTTTTCAGCTTGTCATTGGCTGCTGCATTCTTCACCTCCAGCTCCTGGCTCTTTATCCTCAAGTCGCGACGCAGTTCTTCTACCTAAAGAGCAAAGCCCACACTCTGAGGCGAGAAACGTGCAGAAATCACATGGAAAGGGCTCCTCACTGCAGCTCACTCCCATGAGGAATTTGTGCCTGTGGCGCACCTGGTCAACCGTCTCCTTGATCTTCCTGAGCCCCACGTTCAAGTGCATCTGCTGCTCCTCCAGCTCGCTCCGCTTCTCGTGGAACAGGTTGGCGTAGTGATTGATGAAGTCCAGGTAGTGGCGAGGGGTGATGGCCATAGTTCTGCCGCCTCGCTTTGCTAGTCGAGCATTTGCCTTTCAGAAAACAGTTACATCTTCTCACTCTTCGGGAAACTCTGTGACTTAACCTCAGAAAACAAGTTTGGCCTTGGCAGACGGGTGTGACATGACAGAAGGAGCCCAGCCCTCGGGGGCCAGAACACTCGAGTTGGGCCTCAGCTCAGCCACTTAGAGCTTTCGAGACGCCCCTACACTTCCAAACTTCTCTAAGCCCCTTAACTTCTCTAAACTGAGGATGGTGATTATGCCAACTTTAGAGGTGTACTTTATGTGAAAGGCATCACAAATGTCAGTTACCACAGAAAGGTTAGCTAGCCTGCTTCCACCTTTTATTAATAAGAAATGACACAAGCAAGAAAGGGGCAAGGCAGGCCTGACGTGAGAAGCTGCTCTGGTCCCTTGATTTCTGGAGCACAGCAAGATGATCAGACTACCAGGGGAAGCTGGGGCCGGAAGACATTCCAAGGGCAATGGAGACGGCCTGCAGGGACTGGGCAGCAGGACACCTACAAGCTCAGAATGGATGTCACAAAGCTCTTCTGGGAGAGAGGAGTAGACTGAAAGCTTCTATTACAGAAAATCTATAGCAAGGATTAGCAAAATACGGCTAGCAGGCCAAGTCCTGCATTTTTCGGTAATGAGGTTTTACTGGCCACAGTCACACCCATTCACATATATATGGTCTTTGGAGGCTCTTGCCCTACAATGGCAGCACTGAGTAGCTGTGCTGGAGACTACTCCACCTGCAAAGGCTAAAACATTTACGATCTGGCTCTTTAAAGAGAAAGTGTGCTGATTCCTGGTCTACAGGAGAGAGCAAGGGCCTGAACATACAGCAGCACTGGGAGAAACAGGCCAAGGAGGTCACTTTATTAGAGGCAGAGTCAGTGGGGGCACTAAAGTGTTAGATGGCTCCAGAATTTGCAGCCCAGTGACAAGAATGAGACGTTGTTAAGGAGGCAAGAGGTAAGAAACAACTATTTCCTCCACAAATAACAGTACAATGTCAAATATGAAGTGCCCTCCTAAGGTCTATTTATGGTTTTTTGAGTCTACATCTTGCTCTGTTGCCCAGGTTGGATTGCAGTGGTGTGATCTCAGCTCAATGTAACCTCCTCCCACCTCAGCCTCCTGAGTAGCTGGGACTACAGGTGCGCACCACCAGGCCCGGCTAGTTTTATTTTTATTTTTTGTAGAGATGGGATCTCGCCATGTTGCCCAGGCTGGTCTTGAACTCCTGGGTTCAAGCGATCCTCCTGCCTTGGCCTCCCAAAGTGCTGGGATTACAGGCATGAGTCACTGCACCTGGCCTTAAGGTCTATTTTTATAGCAATTTAGTTTTATGTTAGCATGATGGTTAGTTCTGTGTTTTATGTGTTGATCTGAAAATTGAACCCACCTGGTGAAGCGTCTGATGAACAAACACACAGCTGTTCACAATGGCTTCCCGGTGGGATGGTGGCTGCGGCAGTTTATCATACACAACTGGCATGTAATCAGGAACGATGTAATTTGGCTTCTCCAGGTCCATCTTACTTGTGAATTCTTTGCCAACCTGATACAGTGCTTCGGTGGACCAGTCTCCAAACCAATTCAACACACACCTGAGAAACAGGCCCACGTTTCAAAACAGCTATGAAGGGCAGGCTTTGCCCCTTGGAAGGACACCGACTTTCCTGACCCAGAGCCAAGTAAAGGTCCGCATACCTGTTGAAAAGTGCTGGCGATGTGGCTGCCCGGTCCTTGAGTCCTTCCGAGGACGGGTTCATGGTGAACACGACGTGGAGGTTACGGATAACCTGGCTGGTGAACCACTTGTAGAGCTCCTCGTGCGAGTCCAGCATCAGGCCTTCCTTCTGTGCCCCCTCTTTGCACTGCGTCATCAAGGTGGCATACTCATCTCCTTCAAAGAGACCAGGCACCTGGGAAACAGCACAGGGCTGACTTACTGGTCCCCCGGTAATACGTAACGCAACGCAACACGTCACCTAATTACCTCTCCATTGGCCAGAAGGGTATTCATTCGCTCCAGGAATCCAGAATCTAATACATTAGATTCATCCATTATAAATGCTATCTTTTCATTTTTACAGCCAGAGCGTCTCAATACTGTCCGCAGATCTTCATCGAAGTCTTCCCCTGTGTACTTCCTATGGACCTACAGAAGCAGAGGCAAGTTAGGTCCATTCCTACTCACTGAGCTCTGCACACACATCAAGAATCTGTTGCTGGGATTAAGAGGCCACCAACCAGACGCACCTTAATCTGGTACACACTCAAACCGTTCATCCAGGCGACAAAACGAGACAAGGTAGTTTTTCCTGCTCCACTAACACCAATCAGAAGCAAGTGGCCTTGAGGTTGACGGAATATTCTGAAACATTATGAGAACTGATCAATGTGAAGGCTTATAACGCCTCATTCCCCTTTTGACTCATATCTAGTGTCTACAGTATTTCGGACATGTTTTAACTTGAACTCGTACATTAAACGTTTGCTGAGCCACTGTTATTTGTGAGGTCCAGGAGGAATGCAAAGGCCGGTAAGACACGGTCCTGTCCTCCAGACTGACATGAGACTAATGCAATTCTAGCAGAAGGTCAAAGGGCCCTAATCATAGCAGGCATGCAGTGCTGGGGGGAGGAAGAATGAAGTTCTGCTTGGGATAAACTGAGGAAGGCTAAGCTGGACTTAGAAAGAAGAGAAGGGGGAAGCTGCTTGGCAGACAAGGCTGAGGTGGAGGTGGTGGGACAGCATCAGGCCTGGCGTGAGCCGGCACACACACTTACTCAAGAGCAGCTTAGGCGAGAGGCGGGCCTGTAACAACAAAAAAGCCCACCTGTCAATCCTCAGCACGTGGTCTAGGACTTCATTGAACAGGACCAGCGGAACATCAAGTTCTTCTTCATAAAAGACCTTCAGCCTAGCTTTGACATAATCTCTCAACTCTTCTTGGTCTACTGGGATGTAATCCTATAGAAAAAAAAGTAATACACAAATTACTTAGAAAAAATGTTAGTTATTAGACCAAAGTCAACTGTATTTCCACATACCATGAAGAAACTGTTGAAAATGCAACAAAAAAAGGTATCATTTACAACATAGCAAAAAAATATAAATTCACTAGAAATGGATCTAAAAACATGAAAAGTTTTTATAGAGAAAACTGAACTTCACCAAAAGGCAATGAAGATGACCTCAATACATGAAGAGACATACCCTGATCACAGAGGGAAAAACGCTCTACTGTAAAAATGTCAGTTCCATCAAACTCAACCATAGGTTCAACGTAATCCCGAGCAAAACCTCACTAGTGGGAGGTGCTTACTGTCTTGGTGCAACCTGACAAGTCAATTCTGCATTTCATTTGGAACAGGAAAGATCCCTCTAAAAAAGAAGCAGGTGTGAGGGCCTGCCCAATTTTTTTTTTGAGGGTAGCCTCGCTCTGTCACCAGGCTGGAGTGCAGTGGCGCGATCTCAGCTCACTGCAACCTCCACCTCCAGGGTTCAAGCAATTCTCCTGCCTCAGCTTCCCAAGTAGTTGGGACTACAGGTGTGCGCCACCACACCCAGGTAATTTTTGTATTTTTAGTAGAGACGGGGTTTCACCATGTTGGCCAGGATGGCCTTGATCTCTTGACCTTGTGATCTGCCTGCCTTGGCTTCCCAAAGTGCTGGGATTATAGGCATGAGCCACTGCACTTGGTCTGGGCCTGCCCTATTAAACAGACTTATTACCATAATCAGGACCATGTGGTTTTAGCACAGAGAGCAACCAACAGATACCTATGCACACAGGGAAACTATGATGACAGACTGATACTGTGGAGTAAATTATTATTTAATAAACTTTGCTGGGATAAGGGGCATACACAAGGAAAGAACTGAAAATGGAGCCACTGCTCACTCCATACACAAACTCAATTAGAGACGTGATTAAGGGTTTCAAAGATCCATCTATTTTCTTTTTCTTTTCCTTGAGACAGGGTCTCACTCTGTCACTCAGGCTAGAGTGCAGTGGCCTGATCTTGGCTCACTGCAACCTCCACCTGGGTTCAAGTGATTCTCCTGCCTCTCAAGTAGCTGGGAGGACTACAGGCACATGCCAACATGCCTGGCAAATTTTTTTTTTTGAGTCGGAGTCTCCGTGTCGCCCAGGCTAGAGTGCAATGGTGCAATCTCGGCTCACTGCAACTTCTGCCTCCTGAGTTCAAGTGATTCTCCAGCCTCAGCCTCCTGAGTAGCCGAGATTACAGGCACGCACCACCACATCAGGCTAATTTTTGTATTTTTAGTAGAGATGGGTTTCACTACGTTGGTAAGGCTGGTCTCGAACTCCTGACCTCATGATCCACCCGCCTTGGCAAGACGGGGTTTCACC